GCCACTGAGCTAAATCCCTGGCCCACTTTTTTCTTTTTTGAAAGTGTTGGAGATCAAACCCAGAATCTCATGCATTCTGAACAAGCACTCTACCACTGAGCTGTCCCTCCAGAATGTATCTTTTTTTTTCCTGCAGTACTGGAGATTGAACCCAGGGCTGTCACACTGAGCTACAGATGTTTTTAAATTGTTTATCCTGAGTTAGTGTCTCACTCAGTTGCCAAATGTCCCAGGCTGGGCTCAAACTTGTGATCCTCCTCCCTTAGCCTCCCACAGCACTGGGATTACAGTAGTGCACCACCACTCTACTTTTTTTTAAAGGTTAATTTATTTTCCTAAGAGTAGAGTGAGACCATAACTTTGATTAATGCCATTGCTGGAGATAACCAGATAGATCTAACCTGTGGTTCCATGGTACAGCTATTTCTGGGTATGGTCACAGGTTCTTTTGAGATGGTAACTGTTCTTCCTCAGATTTTAGAAAGGAGAAAAGAATGTGCCATCTCTGGACTCCTATAATGTGCCTGGTGCCTCTGCACATTTTCATTTAGTCCTCACAAGAACCCAGTGGAGTAAGTATTGTAATGACCCTCATCTCTCATATAAGTAGTTGAGACCCAGATTACACACTTTGACCAAGGTCAAACAGCTGGGACTGGAGTGTGAGGATTCTAGACATATCTGTCTAATCTAATAAAGCCTGGATATTTGTTCCCCTTGCCATGCTGTCCCATGGGAAGTGTTCCATGCTAATAGACCAGAAGCCAGAATTAGTAATATGTCTTTCCTAATCCATATACTTTCTTAATTGGAAAACTCAAATGCTTGATGCTGAGCAGAATTCCGAAAGTGTGTCTGGAAAAGGTGACTCCTAATGTGTAGGATGTGTGTTCTGTCTTCCTCCCACCACTCCCCCAGGCTGCTGGGAGGCTAGCCTGGGGTCAGCAAGCCCAGAGAAATGGCTGTCCTGCTGCACAGCAGTGTTCCCAAGCAAGGGACTGGATAAGTCCTCCTAGCTTCAGGGCTTTGCTGGACCTGATTATTGGTAGATCATTAGTGGAGTTTTTACCACTAAGCTAATAAACAGCTGGCTGAGGTTTCTAAACTAGGTTGTGAAGGACTGGCTGCTATGGTTGACTGAAAAGGAATGCAAGTCAGTTCCTGCTCTCTGCTCCTCTTCAGGTGCCCTCACTGTAGAAATCAATGTCTTACAGCTGCTGGGACACAATGCAGAGGAAAGGGGGATGGAAACTCTCTGGGTTTTGCAGAAAGAAGTAAAGCTGCCTCACACATTTGACAAATGAAAATCAAAGTTAATGTCCCTGTTTCTGTATGAGCATGCATCACTCCTGCAAATCATGAAATCCTCAAGCTTCTAGGCTGGCTTCCCAGCCTGTGAGCTGATGTGCACTTGGGGACTAGCAATAAATTTTAGTAGACACCTGTGCAGAAAATAATCCAGAAACAAAACCTCCCACCGACCCCCCGATTGTCATATAATTTTTCCCACGGCAAAAATAAATTCTGGGTTTATTTGTTTCTCTGCTTCCTTTCACCAAGATGTTGAATGAAAGTTTTTTTATAAATACACATGATGATTTTTTTTTTTTTTGGAAAGCCTAATGTATTCATCTTTCCCTCTGTACCATTTACTTGTGGGGAGCTGATCTGAGCCATACCCCAGCAGGTTCAGGGGCTATAAAATAAGTGCAATGAGTATTCACTTCTGCCTGCCTGGGCAAGAGATCATTCAAAGGCTAACTTGGCCCCTGGAGAATATAAACAAACTGGTGTGAATGACAGAATATCAGCTCTCTGAGGGATTTTTTTCACCAGAAACTTAGAGGGAGCCTAAAACCATGCCAGGTAGTCCTGTGCAGAAGGTTGTCTTATTCACATTACGTATGAGGCTCAAAAGGGTTAGAGAAAAGCACCGATTTGACCTGCTAGTGCTAAGTGCTGGTCCCAGCTGTGCAGATATGCAAGTGAGGTTGCTTCTGTTAGCACTTGGTTTCCTTTCCTATAGAAGTCCCTCTGAGATTGGATAAAAGATATAAAGACAGGTAGAAAGAAGATAAGGAAATTGTAATTTTAAAATTCTACTTCAGGACATAATCAAAGTTACTCAAGGTCATAGTGCCTTTTTCCCTTCTAGGAAACTCACTCCAAAAAAATCATAAAGAATCTTAAAGATATCATAAGTCATAAATTGGGTCTATGCTTTTCACCTGTAAACTGAGCCTGCACTTTTCCTCCCATGTGATAGATTCACAAGTTCCACAGACTTCCACTGCCGAGGAAAATGCAAACTTTAAACACATGCAGATGATTTGCATTCTAACCTCACCCACTGACAGGTGACCTGACAGACACAGGAATACACATTCTAGGTCACCACCCTCAGGAACACATAAATACCGCCAGCCCGGGACCATAATGGTTCTCAACCTCTGAGCACCCATACTCCTGAATCTGTACCTAATAAATCTCCTTATGCCTCACACTGACACATCTTGAAATTCTTTTTCTGTGTTAGAAGTCAGTGAACCTCCTACCTACTCCAGGGTGGGGAAAATTGAGGTTTCCATCTTCTCTCTTCCAGAACCTCCTTGTCCCATCCAGTGACAGAAGCAATACAGCTTTTATGGTGAAATAATGGGCAGTTGCAATTGGCTTGGAGAGAAATGTGAAGAGACTTGCAGGTAACCAGGATCCTTTTAAAATCTTACCACGTAGGCAAGTTGAACCACCCTCACTAGCCCAGTGTATTCATGCCTTTGGAGGCATCATCCCTATCATATTAAACATCACAATACACCCCATTCCACACTTAATACTTATATTTAGGACAAAAATTTAGTAATTTGATTTTTAAATTATCTTTCATATATTTGGTTAATTACTTTTTGGCAATTAAGTATGTAAGAGTTAAATTGTTATATATGGGCTCCCAGCACAAAGGAGGCTTCCTGCTCAAGGTGCTGCAGCTCCCAGCTCAGAGGAGCCTTCTGGATTGGTATGCCTCGGCTCCCAGTGCAGAGTAAGAGGCTTCTGGGCCAGCCTACCACCACTCCCAGTGCAGAGGAGGGTCCAGATC